TATATGTAATCTTATTTCCATTATAAATATTCAATCATATTCACATCAAGATAGTGGATATAATTTTTACAAGAGTGAATTATCATTCCAACAGTTTTTTTAACTATTGAGCTTGTGGTTGCAAAATTCAGTGTTTGTAAATAGAAAAATAAAAAATAAAAAAAATGATCACCATTTATAGTTCTTTTAACCAGTTTTCTCACTTCTATTGAATTTTCAGTCATTTGACCATAATTTTATTTAGACAAAAAGGATAAAAAAATACGAAGGAAAAGTTTTTTGATGGCCAAAAGAAACTGTTCTGAAAACACCCAGTTGTAAAGACATGTAAAAAGATACAGTAGCTTTGTGGAGTACTAGGCTTGCTGTCACTTGATACCTCCACAAATCTAATGCTGGTTTCTTTTTTTTTTCTTTTTTTTCAGTGCTTGAAATAAGAGATAAAACAATTATAGATGAAATAATACAAGATCAAAACTTTTTTTTAAAACCTTTTATTTTAATGTTCTAAAAACTTCCAAATATTTCTAGAAACCAATCTCCAAGCAGTTGCTGCAAAAACTACCCTACATAAAACCATTAACATATGCTCTATTTACATGCTATCTCATGACCCCTGTAAGTATTCTGAAAGCAAAGGAAATGTTTGTCGCAGATTAATTCCACAATGCAGAGAACAAATCACTTTAAGTTCAGACTCGAATATCAGGGGCAGAAAGAAATGCCGAAAACTCAATTCACAGGTACTACCTCACAAATCCCAATGCACATAACCAGTCAGAAAAATAACTCGCTCTCCGAAGAATATGGTAGCCAAAATACATCAAATTTTCCCCTCCCGATTCGAGAACACCTACTGCTTTTATCGGCCAAGCATTTTTTTCATTCATCGACAACTGAGACAGGACGCCAAATTTTTGCATATCAAAATACTTTTATAGACTTCTGCAACAGACTTGTTTTTAATCTAAATATTCTATCTTTATGCGGAATACGTGCCCTTTTTTTTTTTTTTTTTTTTTTGGTAAGTAATTTTCTTTTCCGTCGTAGGATACACACAACGCATTGTCGCTTGGTTTGATGAGATAAGTCGCTGTTTTCTTCGCTATAACCCCATAAAAGAAACCGATCTAAATAAATTAATAGAACAACTACCAAAACCATTCATATTATTAGGTGACTTTAACAGTCACATTGTTATATGGGGATCCAAGAACTCAGACAAAAAGAAGGAAAGCTTAGAAAATGTAATTAACAACAATGACTTATGTTTACTAAATGATAAGTCTAATACATGTCTACATCCTGTATCAGGTATTTACTCAGAAATTGATCTATCACTCTGTGATGCTTCTATTTTTATGGATTACAGTTGGCAAGTACTTGACAATTCATACAGCAATGATCACTACCCAGTTATACTGAAGAATTCAGGAGTTAACTGGAAACAATTCCCTCGATGGAAACTAAACAAAGCAGACTGGAGGAAATATAAAAACTAATGCTGTCAAAAACTTTCAGACAAAAACAACAAAAAAAAATCTATTGAATATTTCTCCAAAATATTAATAGGAATTGTGAGAAAATGTATACCAAAATGCAGTAAATCAAATAAACATCAAAGACCCTGGTTCAACAAAGATTGCTCATGGTGCCTTCAAAACATCACCCATAAAAAGTTTATATGCTGAAGTCTATGAGGCACTGTTAAAATTGAGGCAAGAAAAACTGACACTGAAATATCTAAAACTCAAATCATGCCCAACAAATTCTGCCTACCACTGTACCTTCAACCCTAAATACAAAAATCTGTTTGATATAAAAGAAAATGTTATCAAACCATTTGGCCTTTGCATGAAAAATCTCATCCACAAAACACAAATAAATCCAACACTGATTCTTAGAAACACCATCTCAAAAAATCCACCCTGGTTAATGAAACACTCTATGATTCTGCTAAACCTTATGAAGTGTAAGCGTTCTCGAAGCAAATTTGTTACTTTCACAACACAAAGAAAAAATCACTTGTAACGCGTCAGGAAAATAACTCAATCTCCAACAAACGCCGTAGCCAAAAATGCCCAAATTTTCCTTCCCCGAATCGAAAACACCAACTGCTTTTATCGGCAGAACCTATTTTTTTCATTCGTCAACAGCTGGGATAGGATGCTCCGTAATTTGCATATCAATATACTCTTATAGCGACTCCTGCGACGGACTTGTTTCTTTGTTCATCACAGAATACACGCGACACGCTGTCGCTTGGGTTGACGAGGTAAGTCGCCGTTTTCTTCGCTATAAGATTTTTGCTGACTACTTTTTGGTAATCCTTCTCGTTCACTACACCTTACTAAATACCCTAAAATTAATTCTAACATATCTGATTACATGCAAGAAATCCATAATGTTCTACAGGTTCACCCAAATCATAAGCATATATACACTGATGACTCTAAAATCTTGGACAGAGTTGAATGCTCTGCTATCTTTAACAATATAACAATGCAGAAACAATTGCTTGACAATGCCTTAATCTTCAGTACAGAAGTCTCAGCCATATACTTGGCTTTAGATATTATAGAATCCAGTGGGTCAAATAGATTCATTATCTTCTCAGATTCACTATCTGTACTCACAGCTCTGAAGAATAAAAATATGGGAAGCCCTTTAATAAATAAATAGGATTAACACTATTTATGATAAAAAAAAATACTGTAATAGTCCTATGATGTATACTAAGGTATATTGGCATACAAGGAAATAGAAAAGCCGACAAAATGTCAAAGGAATGGCCCTCTCAAATGTAAACATGGCCCTCTCAAATGTAAAGGTTCCACACACCAACTTCCAACCCACCATAAACTGGACCATTAAAGAAAAATGGCAGCAATTATGGAACTATTTAAACAACAAACTACTCAACATCCAACCAATCATTAGTGAAAGACAGTCAAATTACAGAAAGATAAGGAGAGAGGAGGTGGTACTAGTTAGACTCTGTGTAGGATACACATACATAACCCACCAACATCTACTAAAAAATGAGAAACCGTCAATATGCGTCCCATGCCAGGAACCATATACAGTTAAACACATACTACTAATTTGCTATAACTTCCAGCAAACTCAAAACAAACTCTACAAATCGGATAACTTAAAGGATCTATTTGAAAATACTGATTCAAATAACATCATAAATTTCATTAAAGAAATTTACTGTACAGGAAAAATATAAAAAAAATACTCTTTGCCAAATCTGCTTAACTACATTGGTTTTGCAACCAATTTTTGAAGGAAAAAAATTATTACCAGCAACACATTTGATTATTGACAAAAACCCTCTTTACAAAATACGTCAATGAAACTTGATCTACAAAATGATTTCTTATAAAGAATACATATTCTATTCATACAAACCTATCCGAAAAATCTGGTCAGCATTAAATAACCCAATGAGGTTGATAAGCTGTAAAACAAAAAACCCAAACCAAACCAATTGCTGCATAAAAGTCATGATGCCAGGAAATAATGTTTTTATTTTATAAAACAAAAACTGTATTTTTATTGCATATTTTTTGCTATTTACAGTAGTACTTCCTTTTTATTTTTTTTATAAATTATCATATAAATTCTAAAAATAGGTAGCGACTAATGATCATCTTTGGCAGCATTTAAACAAGTAATAAAAAAATCTTTAATCATCAAGACAAATCTTGAAACAAAATTTGAAATGTTTCTCTTATTTCATTGCATGACTGTTCTTTTACATGTGCAGTGACCATGCAATTATTTACTTTTTTTATCTTCATGTTCAGTGCTATTTTTTTTTTTTTCATGATCTTACAATTTGTTACAACTAGGGTACATCACAGCAAAAAGGTTTTAGATAAACATACCAAATTCTGATCTGAAATTTAATGAAATATTAATCTAAAAAGGAGTTCTGAAAAGTTCTCAGCCTAACCAAGCAACCCTGACAACACATTCTGATATTTGGTCAGATTTGGGGAAGTGAGTTGGGCTGAGAACCTTTTAGCACCTCCTCATTGACCATAAGGCATAATGATAGTGAAATTTGCTCAAGATTTGTTCATTTTGTTAAATAAAAATAGTTTTTTTTTTAATTTTCAACATAAACTTTGCCAGACACTGTTTTGTTCTATTATTTTCTGCTATTTTTCAAGCAACTTCATAAATCCATTATCCCAGAAGCTTTAATCTTTCTAAGCAAAAAAATAGTACTAGATGCATTTTTCAGTTTTCCAGGGGATTAAAAAATTCTTTTCATTAAGACAATTCTCTAAAGACTGTTATAAAAACTAATGCAAGATAAAACTAATACCTAGTGAATATGGTGGAAAAGTAAAAATTTTCCAACCAAACTGTAACAGTTTTTTTTTTTTTTTTGCCGAACCAGCAAAGAACTATGTGGATATCATTGAGCATTTTTCTGACAGAATTCTATGCTCTTTCTCTTTAACTAATTCTGGATGCTTTTCATCAATTGCTACCTTCAGTGAACAATCCCACCATAAAAGATATCAATTTTTAATGAAGACCAACCTTTCAATTTGCCCTCTATTTTAGATCTTTCTTAGTAATCCTTATAACCAGATCAGTTTTTCTATCATCCCTTTGGGTGATAGAAAAAAATGATCCGTTACAATGACTATTAACACTTATAATATATGAGGAGGTGCTGAAAAGTTCACAGCCTGACCAAAATCCTAATGTTTAATCATCTAGTAAAATTTTTGGAAGTGGGTCAGGCCAAGAACTTTTCAGTATCCCCTTGTATTATTTGGTACATCTCCATGTTAAATTAGAGTGACTGATGAGTCTGAAGATCCATTCCTAAAATCCTTCTCTGAAGTATTATTACATGTTTGCCTGTGATAATTGATGTAAATTGCTACTAAATTTAATGTCAGTAGTAATAATGATGATGAGTATTTTGTGTGTTAGTAATAAATTTCTTGGTTGTTTTTTTTCTTTTCTAGGGATTCAAGTGCGCACAGACAATTCACCTTATTATATGCACCACAAGTTTGCTATCATTGACAAGAAAATCCTCTTCACTGGGTCTTTTAATTGGACTGTAAATGCCATCACAGGAAACCAGGAAGATTTGGTGATCATAAACAAACCCCAGATAGTTGAAGAGTACCACAAGGAGTTTAAAAAACTCTGGGAATTTTATGATCCCAAATCTTCACAGCCACTAACAATGATTGGACGATGTGTACATCCCTCGAAGGGGAATAGTAGGTTTCAAACTAATTCTACACAAAGATGACTATAGACAATGTGGAATTGTATGTTTTGTATATATATGTATAAAAGCTGAGAAGTCATTAATATTTTAAATTTTGTTGAGACATTTGAATTTGTGATTTTCATGTCATTAAAACAATTTTCAGCCAACCCAGCTTTCATCAGCTGTACAAAAATAGGGGGAAAGAAAACTATGGAAAAAATGGCAGTCAAATTTACCAACTATTTCAGCAGTGCCAAGTACATAGACAAAACTATGCCACCACCTGCTTACTCTGATAATTCCAAACTCTATATGGGTGAGTTTCCCAATGTCTTCTTTGCTAAGTAATGAAAACTGCATTGTGTTGAAATCCATACTAACTCACCTTGTACACCTGACCAACTAGCCAATATCTGCTGTATCTTTCAATTTTCTCACTTTCTAAGAATGCTCTTTGTCAATTACCTGAATCTCATTCGATGTATGATCCTCTCTCTTTAAACATGATTTGCCATGTCATATATTTTCTGTAAAAATAAGATTTCTTTTTCTTTTTTTTCCTATTCTGATGAAGCTGAAGAATGGAATGCGTGAAACACATCATCAAGTATATTATGAAAGAATTCAATTGTTTGAACAAAATTTGGACTAATATATGTATATACTACACCCTCATTTTTTTTTTCTGCGTGTCATTATTACATTTCTCTGGGCTAACATTTTTATATTATTGCACAATTTTGTACATTGTGTAATATTAACAATATTGTTTAAAAGCTGCTTAATATCATTTATTTTATTTTGTAAAATATTTGGTAATATTGTTACAATAAACATTGGTTATTATGTTTAATTTGTAATAGATCATATTCACAATGCAGTTGGCAAAATTTCTTCAGTCAGTTGAAATTTGGTGTACTGAAACTTTTGACTCAGTTGCATATAAGAATAAATGGTGGGATTTATTACAAATCGCATTATTTTGCTTAAGTGACAATGTGTTTTTTTTGTTTTCATTTTTTTGCTATCCAATTTTTTGTTTTCATTTTTTTTTTTTTTGCTATCAGCTGAAAATATATTGAGACTTTAATGTTATTGGATGATTCTATTTGCATCCTATTCTGATGGAAATTTATAAAAAGGAAAAGAAATTACACATTTACTTTGTTCTCAAAACCAATATTAACAATGTCTGTAAATTTTTGTTAAAAGCCAATAGGAAATGAACTTATTTCAATAACAAATATGTTCCAAAAATGTATGATAAAAGTTCTGTGTGCCATGTCCCTTCAGGACATAGGCAATCATGGTTCTCTATTTCCTCCTGTCCCTTGTAGCTCTCAGTAAGGTTTGTCCTCTTGTTATCTCTTCCAGACCCCATTCTGCCATCCACTTGCTTAAGCCCATGAAGTATATCATACATTGCTTTCCCTTGTCCCTCTTTCCCTCTATCCACCCTGTGAGTATCAGATTTTCCAAGCCCTCTTTTCTCATTACATGTCCCAGAAATTTCAGCTACTTATTCCTGATATTAAGTATAAGTTTCCTCTTTGTTTGCATCCTCTCCAAAACCTCATCGTTGCTCATATATTCGGCCCATGATATCCTTAGCATCCTTCTGTAGAACCATGCCTCTGTCGCCTTCAGTCTCTTCATCTTTGAAGAAATTATCCAACATTCACTGCCATAAAAGAGGATAGATATCACATAGCAGTTCAGTAGTCTTCTTTGTTACCAACAAAACCCTCCTGTCTCTAAAAGTTCACAAAGTTCAAATATCCATATACACATGCACAGCCAACCCCCGCAACACCCCTTTTGTAGGAAAAGTCAGTTGCTTTTATAGTAGTTCAGTGGACCTTTATCAGGTTTTCAATTGGTGTATCATGGAAATGGTTTAGGATATTTTTCTATGCAAATCATTCCACTTTATGACACTTGAATCCTGATTGGTTAGCAGAAGCTAATTTACATGAGTTCACTGACCTCATTCAGTTATGAAGCATCTTTCTTTTCTTTTTTTCTTTCTCGCTTTCTTCTACAAAAACAGTATACAGCATGAAAGTGTTTTGGCTTTCAGGGTATGTCACCATTTTCTTCTGTAAAAAAGATTAAGCGAAATTCAAAATAAGTTCTAACAGACTTATAAACATAACAGAATGTTAGTCCAGAAAATTAAGTGTAACCAGAATTTCTCATTCATTTTTTACCAAATATTTATGGACGGTAATTCATATTTCAATTGACATCTTATCTACACTTAGTGATCTTGATAGCATGACCATATTTTTGATCATCAAATATTTGATATGATGTTCTTGCTGCTAATTTAATCTGCAGACAAACTCGTGATACTAAGATCCAGAAAATCAAATTTAAATGTTATCATTAAAAATAAAGATATTTTCATATTTTGATAATTTATTTTTAATTGTATTGATCTTTTTCTTTTTTTTTTTTTTCTCTTTTTGAAGTGAATATAAAATAAGTAGATAGATTAAAATCTTGGTTGGATGAGATGTGAAATTGAAGAATTTCATGAAGGTATCCACACTAACAGAGATTAACCAATAAACACACATGGAAATAAGTGTTTTCTAAATCTTTTCACCTGTGAAACAATATGTTAGGATGTATCAAAAATATTCCCCCTTTTTTTAAATTCACTCTTATTGTATTGGTCCTGACCTGGTATCTTGGCTTCAGTCACTTTTCCATGCTGTAATGTAGCTTCCCTGTGCCTTTTCTATAAATAATTTCATGGTAATTGTTTGGATGAACTCTTCACTATGGTCCTTAGACTTTATGAATTTAAGCTCAATGATAGATTGGTGGCAAGGTCTCATAAATTCACAGTTAAATTGAGTAAATGTAGCCGTAAGTTTTATACTAACAGTTTCTTTTTTCGCACTTCTCACTTGTGGAACTTTCCAGTCAAGTTTAATCTTCCAAGATTTAAATGCAGTGTCAATCATTATCTACTGTCTTCTTGATTACTTTTCTATTGTTTTTGCTCCTTAATAATGTTCTATTTTTTTTCTTTTACACTCAGTAACCCACTTGTGTCTTAGTGGCTTTACTGCTTTGTATTGGGTGATATGATTAAAAAGAATATGCTCTGTATACAGTATCTTTTTATCATCCAAGCTCTTCTGAAAGTTTTCAGGTGCATTTAGTTGAGTAATCCTCTACTTTGTGTTTTTTTTTTTTTTTAATCCTAATCAGCAACTGATGATTGTCTTTATTTCAAAGAACAAGTTAACACCTTTTAAAATGCTTAGATTACTTTTGGGCACTACACTCGGATATTTCTTTATATTTTTTAAAATTCTATTGTTCACCCAATACAAGGCCCAAGAGCTACTCTAGAGGGTTACTGAATGAGATTGTTGTAAAGGGTACAAGGAAGAGGTTCACATCATGAGGATATATAGATATCATTTGACCTTGGGCTTAAAGAGGTTAAGGTTTTAGTGGAAGCATCCTCTTGAGCGTCTGTTTCACAAAGTGATGCTTCTAGGGAAGAAGCAATTTAAGTGGGACTTCCTCCTTAATAAAGGAATATGAAGGGAATGAGGATGATTTAATGCTACGTAAGTGGCCTAACATGGCATGGTCTGTGAAGGTTTGAACTGGTGAAACTAAGGAATGTAGCAAGTTTGAACATTTGCTATAATAATAATGATAGCAGTAAGAGGTTAGTAATTTTTTGTCTGGAAAATTATTAATCACAAGGCTGCATAATGGCCTTTGAACTCTAGGCTGGACAGTGAAGATGATGGGGCAGAACCAGCCCTGATTTGGCTGTAAGTAATACTCTATGCTTAGTCCAATCTGACTCTTATACAGATATATCCTTGCAGTAAATGTTAGGTATTTTCTAGAATGATGCAAGGAACTAACCATTCTTCCAGAAGCAGTTTTAACATTCTGAGGCATAATTTAAAGTAATATCTCAACATTGCCAAAATATTAATCCTTATATCTGTCATTATAACATCCAAAAAAAATTTATATAAATTCGTTACTAAATACTTGGAAAGACATTTTGTTTACTGATATAACTATCTTCTTTTTATTACATTTAATGTTGTTAAGTAGATCTTTTTCAAAGAATGTATGCTCTTTTCGAAAATTACAAAATATAGCTATAAAATGTAGCAGCCAATTACAAACATTTTTGGATATGGGTACAGAAATTTAATGAAAAACTCTAAAAATATATATAAAAATAAACCTTTTTTTCTCCTTTTTTTATTCAATTTCACCTCATGCAAGGCAGTAAAGCTACTAAGACACAAGGTGTTATTGGGTGTGGAAGAATTAAAAACAAACATTACTAATGGATGGGAACAAAAAGTAATCAGGAAGATATATCTTTTATTTAAGGTTACAAGTAAGATTATATTATCAGTTATATCAAAATAAGAAAATGGTATCTGAGAGATTTGTTAACTTATGAAAAATTACCTGTGTTTTTGTTTTTTTTTTTTGTTAGTGTGGCAACAAAGGAGCAAAGTCTTACCTCAAAAAAAAAAAATCAAGATCAGGTTGACTTTAGTAGTCCTCGAAATATAATTTTTTTTTTTTTCTTTCCTACCAGTTTCAACCAATCACTGCTTTCTTACTCCCCTATAAAAGAATGCTACTTTAGACAACAGATGAGACTCTCTGCTCTTCTTGAGCAAAGAAGGTAATTGTGCATTGCAAGTTGTAGATGCAGAATTGTTTTTACCCCTTTTGATTTATGCCCTTGGCAGTTTTGACATTAGAGTTGGAAGATTGATTTATGACCTTTGGAATT